TAACTGAAAATGACGTAAATTAATAATTCAATGACCGATTTATTTAATCTATATTTTGCACACCCATGACATATTTATAGTGTAATATTTTTTTTAAATATATCACTATCAATCACATATAACGTACAATACACATCGCAATCTGCTCTTGTGTACAACAAAGAAATTAATTATTGGATACAATACCAATTGAATTTACATAAATGTAAGAAAACGGTATTGAAATGGATTTTAATGATACAGAAGCGCTTTTGCAATGTACCTCTTAGGTACATTGGCCTACAAAATCTAAATTTTATCTGTACATAGTTTTATCTTTGATGATTTCTATTGATTGACTGATTCTGATTGATTGAATGATTTCTATTAGATAGATAGATAGATAAACACTTTATTCACTGATATAACACAAATACAGATTTAGCATAAAAGAAAAAACAAAACATGATTGTCATAGCAGTGAAACGGCGCTGACTCAGCATATGCCAAAGTTTCCTAAGGCGCTGGTTTTCAGTCAGAACCAACGAGAGGGATTAAGTTACTAGAAAGCAAAAATATAACGACTTTGAGTAAAGTTATACATTGACAATAATAATATACATAGTAAAGTGTAAATAGTGCATTTAAAATAACCTGCTTGACATATAAGTGCATGAGCAAATGTGAATATAATTACAGCTGTAGGTGTAAGTTATGACTGTAAAGAGGATTTAATGTTGTGTAATGTAATTAGTATTATAATATAATTATACACATAATAAGAATAGATCAAAGCAACAACAAAATTCGATTCTAGACAGACTACGTTAAAGAATAAAAACACACTACACAGATTTTTGAAGTGAGAGTAGGTGTATAGGATATATATATAGGTATATACAGAGATATAGGTGGATAGGAGTAGTATTCTATTCTATTCTATCTATATAAACATATATGTATATACTTATATATTCATTCTTATTGTTATCAATCTGCACATCATATTGCACAGATAGAAAGACACACACAAACACATACACACACGGCGGCCTCCGTGGTCAAGTGGCTTGCACACCGGTTTTCATAGTGTCGCCATCTCTGAGGTCCCGGGTCCAATCCCCGGCCGGATCAGTGTAAAAAACTTTTCTATATTGACTCGGGTCTGGGTCGTTGTTTCCGATTTCTATAACACAAGCGCTTTAGCTACTTATTTTGGGATCAGAGAAACGTATGTGGTGTTGTGTAATATTTATTTATTTACTTACACACACACTCACACAAAGGCGTGAATTAAGATAACTGCAGCCGTAGGTTCGAAAAAAAACCAAAAACTTTTACGATTAATTTAATTTAAAAGAAATAAAATTACAAAACTAATTACTAGAGATAGGTGACTTTTTTTATATAACATCAAGTGATGGGACGAACATTTCTTGCGCCAGATGGTAAGCTACACGCCTGTCCATAACAGTTACAGTGCCACTCAGAGCTTTAAATTGCAAAGATCTGAGGGGCACTACCACTGCACCCGTCACCCTGAGACATAAGTTGAGAAGTCCCATGCGCCTGTAATTTCACCAATACCCTTACCCTTCAAAACCGGAACACAGTAATGCTGACACTACTGCTTGGCGGCAGAAATAGGTAAGGTGGCAGCTTTCCCTGGATGAACTCTTTCACAAGGAGCTCTACTGCTAGTAAAACAATCTTTCGATGTTTGAAATAAAAGTGTCCGACTTCATAATTACACTGTTCCGGTAAAGCGGGAATTGTGCGCTGACCCAGCGCCTCGTGAATATGTTGTGTCTTCCTTCTGTAGAAGTCTGGACTCGGCGGCTTCCTTTGTATTGCGATATGTAACTCCTCCACCCTCAGATTAGCAAATATTTTCTAAGGTTTAGTGAAAAAATTGCTGGTAGGCTATGATGGGGTTGATGATTTCAGCTTTTCCTGGATCCTCAATTGTCTGATAATATTCTGGTTTGGATTCTTAGGTGTTTCGGCGTTTGCAATTCCATAAGTTGTGTCGCCGACTTCTAATGGCTATAACGAGTGCACATGCACCTGTTATTATCGCATGTAGGGGTTTCGTCGTGTGATATAAGACAGACACTGGTTTCACTCGTGTCGAGCTTTAAGGGAGACTCGACTAAAATTTTATTCTGGACATTGTGCAGTCCTTTCAAATCAAAGGATTTCAGGTTTACGTGGCCTATGGTTGCAGCTTGTTTCATAATGTCATTTGGAAATTTGGTGAGTTTCAACGGATGGCCTTTTATTTCGACCTTGTCATTCGTAATGATATATTCTGCAGTCCGTAGATAGCAATTTAGAGGAATAGTGACTAGGCGACTTTCTTGCAACAAACTGTATAATCTTCTCTATCGCATGCTAATTGAAATCTCGTTGGCTTGGGAAATGGGACGATGTACTGATCATCGAGTTGTTCCATTGCTGGCTTTGTAATGAAACTGTTGTCACTTGGCAGGATTCCTGTAGGTCTTGGTTGATTATTAGTTGTTGCACGCAGTCCGGGGTAGACCGTACTTGGAGGTTGGTTTACTTATTGCAGAGACAACCGTGACTGAACTTAGGGCATTCTGTCTCCATTTACACGAATACGTTCTCATGAGTTGCTATGCAAGGGTAAGCAGGGATAAGGGCTTGTTTATGTTTATTAGGTACTAAGGATAATCTAAAAAGGTCGTATACGTCTACTGAAACTATAGGGAACTGAAAAGTTATAATTATTTGTTTGTCTACATAATGAAAACCTTGTCGTATTATGTCATAGTACTCTCTAAGTTCTAATCCTAGAATTCTGTCTTTTCCATAGATTAATTTTAACTTATCTATCATATTACTAAGGATATTATCTAACATAGAATGATGTGTGCTCGAAGCTCAAATAAAAGATAAACAGTTTTTTTATTCTAATTAGTTCGTCTTTATCTTTTACATTTTCGCTTTAGACGGCTAAAATCCGGGAAAATTATGCGATTTGAATTAAATTATTGTCTCGGCATATCGGCCTTTGTATCTAATAAAGGCACATACTAGCGAAATACAAATTGATGATGAACAATGGAATTGCGACGTCGTTCCAGATGTAGCGCCAAAACATGCAGAACCTCCGGAGAGACACTCCAGTGGCACCGTCATAACGACGTTCACGGAACAGGTGATCAGACACGAACGAACAGGGAAGGGAATGTAGCAGTGGACCCCAATTTCGGTGCGGTAGAAATCAGACAAAATGAAGGCCCAATCATACCACCATCACCATTGTGGGCAAACGTCTCTGGTCACCGAAGACAGGCTATAAGCCCAGTGTTGCCATAGCTAATTCGGAACAAGATGAGGACTTAAAGTGATTACAATGTAGTGCATTTGTAGTGTATTTTGAGTCGGATTTTGTTAAGTGTTTAACTACTTATAAGGGATGTGTATATTTATGTGTACATGTGTGTGGGCTGCGACCCATCTTAGCATTAATCGATTTGTTAATAAACCAGTGTGCAACGAACCGGCTTTGTTAGTGGTCGCGTACCCTCCCGCTATACGTATATAACACTCAAGACCCACTTCACCGTTGCTATGGGGGACTTCAATGCCATAGTGGGAGTGCGCGAATGCGAGAAATCGTGGATGGGACAACACGGTATTGGACGGCGAAACCAAAGGGGGCAAACGCTGGTAAACTTCCTGGACATGCAGGGGCTGTTCTACATGAACACTTTCTTTCAGAAAAAGCCCCATAGGATGTGGACCTGGCAAAGACCCAATGGTATGACAAAGAATGAGATCGACTTCATCTTGACGGACAAGAAACGTATATTTAGGGATATCTCCGTGGTCAATAGGTTCAATACCGGTATCTTGAAGGTGTGGTAGGGGTAAATCGCGAAGAGGGAATTAGGCTCTTCAGAACGCAGCGAGGAGCCCGAAAGTCCAAACTCTCGACTGCGACTCTGAAACTAATAATAATAATAATAATAATAATATATTAGCTCCGCACTAGGGAAAACTCTGTGTCGCGAGTGCCATGGACACACACATAGATAACTACAAATTACACCCAAACTCACGAGAAAAATAAATGTAGGCCATACAAATATTTCTCCCGGCCCGGGAATCGAACCTGGGACCTCTGCGTGGCAATCCGGCGTGGTAACCGTTCGGCCACGGAGGCAGTTATATAGGAATCGATGAGAACACGATGCGAGACACCAGAGGAAGCTTCGTCAGATGCCCGTCGTCTCAACAAAACCATCTGCAAGTCGTTACAAAAAGACTGGGTAGATATCAACTGACGAAGCTAAATACCTCGGACAGTGAAACTGTTACATCTGTTCCAGGAATTCTCGCAGAAGTCGAGGACTATACAGCAGTCTACATGCCTCGCGTGTTCCAAAGCCACCACCCAACGCGAATGACTCAAGAGTCACACTTGCACGCCACTTCACAGACGACCTGCCAAAAGTGGATGAAGACAAAATTGGGAGGGTTCTTAAACAGCTTAATAATGGGAAGGCTTCCGGCGAAGACGGAATAACCTCTGAGCTTCTCAGGGCAGGAGGAGACCCAGTGCTCAGAAAGCTCAAGGAGCTATCCAACGCCGTCATAGCCAATGGGACTACCCCAGAGATGTGGAGCTGAAGCGTGGTAGCTTTATTTTTCAAAAAAGGAGACAAAACCCTCTTGAAGAACTACAGACTCCGGAGCCACGTTTATTAGCTATTATCGAGAGTCCTCACAAATCGTCTCGCCGGAAGATTTGACGCTTCCCAGCCATCGGAATAGGCAGGGTTTCGTAAAGGCTATAGGATCGTGGACTACATACACACTGTTTGGCAAATTATACAGAAGCCCGAAGAGTATAATAAGCGACTGCGTCTAGCATTTGTGGACTACGAGAAAGCCTTCGACTCCATCGAAACTTAGGTTGTTCTGGATTCCTTGCAGCGATACCAAGTCGATTGGCGGTACATAGAGGAAATCTGTACAGCAAGGCCATGATGTCTGTCCAAGTACAAAGTAAGAAGACAAGACCCATTCAGTTGCACAGATGCGTGAGACAGGGAGATGTTATCTACGCGAAACTGTTCTCAAACGCTCTGGAGGACGTCTTCAAGACACTTAATTGGACCGGATTGGTCATCAACGTCAATGGCGAAAATCTCACACACCTTCGGTTTGCCGACGACATCGTTATAATGGCAGAATCGCTGCAGGATTTGCAGAAAATGCTGAACAGCCTTAATGCTGCCTCATTATCGGTCGGTCTTCAGATGAATTTGGACAAGACTAAGGTCTTGTTCAATGAGCTCGTCATCTCGGAACCGATCTCGATTAATGGCGAAAGGCTCGAAGTTGTCCGAGAATAGGTCTTTGGTTCCAGTTTACAGTTTTGGAATGTGCAGTTGTTATTAACAAAGTATTGCCTTCCTGTGGTTCCGTCAAATTCATCAAACCCATGCCATGAAAGGATGTAAATGAAATCGTTTTCGCTTTCTGCTACATAGAAATAAAATACCAAAACGAACATACAATTCAAAATGTGTCTCCTTCCATCTACATTAATTTTAATTCCATAAAATATATATTTTTTAATCTGAACTTTTTCGATGCTTATGATCTCTTTCTGACAACTATTAAGACTACCTTTAACAATAGAATTCCACGTTTCATATCAATTAGGGTAAGAATGTTCCATTGTTTATACCATGCACAGCGATTACCTTTGCCTACACAACTAGCGTGTCAAGCCATGTGTATAATCGCCGTACGCCGACGGCTGCTTTCATCAAACCAACCCTTTTTTTTGGGGTCAGCGAAATAATTATAATCTCATTCTGTAGCATTTGAAAAAATAATAGCAAGTCCGTCTTGTTTTGAATGAAATGTCACCATTGCCGTAATAAAAAGTCGACAGATCGGGTAAATTCCCTAGGGACCCCAACTTATTGAATCCAAGAAAGATGCGGTTGACAATGAATGTCACTTACAACATTAGTTAAGAAAAGCATGCTGTTCATTGTTTAGTAAGGATACAGTAGAACAACTTTACTTGGGGCTATCGCGTGTATATTTACATCGAATATAGGTGGAGGTTATTAAGAGAGATTATTAAATAGTGTCTTTCATGAATTCAGGCAATTTTGGGGTCAATAAGGATTTTTTTTATAATATCCAGTGACGGGACGAACAAGTCGTGCACCTGATGGTAAAAAACATGCCTGTCCACAACAATTGCAGTGCCACTCAAGAGCTTTTAATTGCAAGGATCTGAAGGGCACTACCACTGCGCCCGTCACCCTGAGACATACGTTGACAAGTCCCATGTGCCTGTAATTTCACCAGTACCCTTACCCTTCAAAACCGGATCACAGTAATGCTGACATTACTGCTTGGCGGTAGAAATAGGTAAGGTGGCAGTACTTCAGTGCAGTACATAGGATTTTGCCAGTATAAAACGGAACGGTGACCACTCTTTTCTTGAACTCCTGGTGATGTGTATCGCATCATTTAGAATAAGGAGCGCTTACTGTTATTTATTTAAACACCATAGAACAAAATATTAATATTATTTCTCTGCTTTTGGAAAAGTATTGAGACCGGCCTTTGGTATAGACCGAATGTACTAATGTATAATGTAATAATAAAATATATAAAGGCTTGTTAGTTGTGTAGCAACAGGCACAGTGGAAACAATGGACAGCATTCTTTCCGTAATTGACGTAAAACATGGAGGTCTATTATTGACAATAGTCTTAACGCTGCACTGAAAGTGACCATACCCATCAAAAATAATAATAAAAAATATTTTGTAGAATTAAAATGTATGTAGCAGAAAGCAGACACATTTTGGATAATATGTTCGTTTTGGTATTTTATTTTTACGTAGCAGAAACAAAAAACGATTTCATTTACATCCTTTCATGGCACACGTCATATCCGTTTGAGGAAATCACAGGAAGGCAATATGTTGTTAAAAATAATTGCAAATTTCAAAACTGTTTCTTTACCTATGATAGGACATATTTCAAGGATATTTTGAATTTCGACGTAATTTTGTTTAATTCAATTGAGATGAGATATAACAGTAACCCGAATACAGCCATCCCACCTGTCAGATCACCAGAACAGAAATATATTTTCGTGAGTAAAGACCCTACAGACATGTTTCCCGGTTCACCTGATTATGATGGATTTTTCAATTATACATTTACATATAAACTAGATTCTGATGTCCCGTGGAGATTTCTTGTTGTAAGAAATAAGACAGACAATAAAATTATAGCACCTTCAACAAAAAATGTCAAGTGGAAGGATGTTAACGATATGGAACCGATTAGTGAAGAAATTAAACGGAAATTGAAAAGTAAAAATCAAGCTGCGGCTTGGTTGGTATCACATTGCGTTACACGTAGCAAACGTGAAGACTTAGTCGCAAAGTTGATAACAGAACTGGAAAGCTTAAATCTTAGCATAACTACTACTGGCAACGAACCATGTGTTGGTTCCTACGAGTATTTTACACCTTGTAGCAATGGGAATAATCCGGACGGGACCTATTCGCGCAATATTTGTAATAATTGGATTTTATCGACTCATTATTTTTACTTGGCGTTTGAGAATTCAATCAGTGAAGATTATGTAACTGAGAAAGTGTTAACTGCTACAAAAAACTTCGCCATACCGATTGTGTTTGGGGGTGCAGACTATACCAAGTTCGTTTCTTTAAATGACCTTTATTATAGTATTATATCGTTGTTATTTGTTTATAAACAGTCTAATAAAATACATTAATTACGAAGACTGTGACCCGAGGACTTAAAAAAAGACACAAAAATGTTATAAAAACTAAAACTTAATTGAAATTATTCCTAAGCTAAATTACAAACGTTTGCGTTCGATGTTAGAATCACAATTCTTGAAATAAAATTATAATTAATAATGAATTTTATTAACTAGGTTACACGGGCTTAGGCTGCGTCCTGGAATCGAACGATATCCTAATGCAGTCTCAGCTTTTTACTTAGGGCTGGTATATGTGACACCTCCACCCTTATAACAGCAACTGTTTGAGTGTCTTGGGAGCAAAAGTTGCTGGAGTACTTTGACGTGTCTCCGATTTACCAGGAACTGTATGCAGTTCGGCTCAGGCGCCTCCGTTTTTATCTGGGGCCTTTCTGTATGGCTTTTTAGGTAACATCGTCGTATAAATATGTGCACTTAATAACACTCCATAGAATGGTATCGTAGTATAGATTGCAATATGATTTTTTCTTATATATGAAGTCCTTTGAGATTAATGGAGTTCATTTCATGTGAGGTTGTGAATTCTGTTTCACAGCATCCATGGAAATTTTCATTATCTTCACTGGTTGGCCTTCGACTTGGTCGTTGGTGTTATAGACAGTGAATTCATCTGTACGTAATATACAATTCACAGGAACAGTAACTAGAAAACTGCCTCTTATGATGTTGAAATCTTCATGTCCACGTGTGGTACGTACATTGGTGAGTCGCGGAAAGGGAGTACGTAGTGTCTTTTATCCAGTTTCTCTACGGTTTCCTTGGATAGGCTAATTGTAGTCGTCCTGCAGGTCGTGTCTACAGATTGATTAGTAAATATGTTCTAGATACAGTCAGCTTGCGTTCGGACTTGCGTTCATCTTCTCTTTGCAGATAAACCAGTTAGTGAGCTTCGGACATTCTGTCTCTACGCACATGAACGCTTTCCTGGTGGATGTTATTATGGGGAAGGACGGACAATCTATACAACTTATACCTATCATTATCTACTGTTGGAAATTTGAATGTTAAACCTAAACTCTTACCTATAAAATAGTAACCAGGCTTAATTACGTCATAGTATTCTCGATATTTCAAGTCTAATACGTTTCCTTTACTATAAGTAACTTTAATTCGTTTATGATTTTTTTCAGTGTAGGTACATTACATTAATAACTGAATGGTGAGTCCTGAAGCTACGAGTGAAAGCTAGAATATTTTCTAACCGAAATAATTCCGCTAGAATATCGTCAGTATTTTCTGTAATACTTGTTAGCATTTGGCCAAATTTAGCATATTTAATTAAATTTGATTCTCGATAGGCATCTTCCTTCAAAAGTGATTCTAATGTAGACTTAATTTATTTTGATTATTAACTATTTCAGATATTATATTACTATTTTGTGCCATCCAATCTTTACCAATATGATTGTTAAATTCATCTGTAATTTTTAATTGATTATTCCGGAGAGCTTTTGTGGCATCATCGTATTTAGCAACATCTAAATAGTGGAGATTACCGGAGACGCTTTTAATAATGGAAATTTATGCCGTCTACAAGACCTCCTGTTGCATTTAGGTTCTAAGCTACTTAAATGACTTATGATCTTTTGAAGTTTAAGTGGAAAAGATATTCAATCTATAATTCATAGAGAATATAGGTATCGTTCGGTAATCTAGCTTTAAAGTCTGTAAGGTCGTTTTGTAAGTCCGTAATTTTATCTTCAATATTGTCAACTTGGATATATTGTAAAAATGTATGATAATGTGTTACAAGTTTAGTTGGTCCCAGTCTATATGGTAGTAATCCAGGTTCGTCATTCGGACTTTCAAGTCTTCTATCTCTTGTACCGTCATTGGTGATAGGGCTCAGGTACTATCTTTAATCGAGATTTAGCTACAGGGCTGCGTTTTTTAGTCGTGTAATTGCGAATAGGTAAATCTGCTAGGACCGTGTCTTGAGTGTAGCGGGGTGCGAACTTCTGGCGGCTAGAAAAGGGGTTTCTAATGAACACCTGCTGTTGGGGTTCGTATTCAACCTCAGACTCGTGGTTTTTATTACGATTTTCAATTAGGGTGGTACGGTCAGCTAGCGATGATTCATTTATAATTTGATAAACAGGTTTCATTTGGGTTCTGTGGTTTTGTGAATATTGTTGCAGTAGGTGTTTGGTCAAGTTAATGTCAGTAGGGTCTTGTGAGTTGAGGTTTCCGTTAATTATGTCATATGGTCGGTATTTAAACTTATTTAAATTAAATTTCCTTTCCGACGTATTATCAATTCTTTGTTGCATATACATTAGAGATGCGCCTAGTACTCATTTGCTATTTGGTACTCGGTGTACTCGGCCGAATAACTCGGTTCATGAGAAGAGTACTCGGTTAAAATAAAGTATTACAGCTATAGACATAATAAAGTAAAACCAACAATATATTTAAAATAACCAAAAGAGATTTATTACTAGAAATTCTAGACAATTGTAACAATTTGTAGCAATTTAGTAATTTAAAAAGAAAGTTTACATTATTAATATTTAAAATTTAACAAAGGCAAGTTGTGATATAGGAATACAATGCTTTCTGCGCG